CTCATTATTTATTCAATTTATAAACAGTGAAGATAGCATAACAGACATTCATCGTAATATGTTTGAAAATATTCATAAAATAAACGTATTTTTACAACTGATGCATCAAAAGTTCTTGATAATAGTCAAAGAGTTGCTGCTACGTTACAGGTGATTGTCGACTATACATATCTTGTATTATGTCTACGACGTTCAGCACCTCAGATAGTTTCTACGTCGATATCACTAATTGACTGGACATTCATTCCTAAACTTGTGATCGTAAAATGCCGCTTGAGGTGGTTCAGTTATTTGATCAAGCCATTGATTCATTCTTTTTAATGTATCGTTCAAATCAAGATTGCGAGCTTCAGACGAGTCAAACTTCTGAAACAAACGCTTTCACACTGATGTTGAAAATGACAAATTCTATTTATGAAACAAAAACTGGTCTACTGCATACCAAAGGTATGAAAATCATTCAGGCATGTTGTCACAGTAAATATGTACGTCATAGTCCACCTGGAAATATAAGAGCAGAAGATTTATTCGGGCTTATTTCATATATATTATATGAACCTTTATTCGTTGCCTCCAAAAGAACACATTACTGGTTCAACATACAAATTGTCTTGGTCTGATTTGCGATATGATTAAGTAGACCTTAAAGACGAGGAGACGGTACAGTCAAAACCTCCAGCGCATCGACAACGTTTTGAATCAAGACTTGTTCTTCCCATCGTTGTTGATCTATTACTTAGACTCAACATTGAGGAACGTAAGGACTCGTTCACTGGCTCAGCCGAGAAAGGATTTTGGACAGAAAGTGGTAGTTTTTCTTATATAATAAATTTCAATTTGATAAAAAGTGCACAGCGTAAAGCAATTCTTGATGGATATAAATCGCATCGTGTCTTGCTAGCTTGGTTAAATATTTAATGCTAAAACAGAAATAAAAGATATATGTTTGTGAAAATGACATAGTATATTTGCAAAAAAAAATATTAATGGTCATTTTCATATATTTTTCCGAATATTTTTATATTATGTTATACTGCACGAAAGATTTATTCAAAAAGTAGGGGTGGGACATTTCCAGTTCAGTTCTTTTGAACGGGAACTGCGTACCAGTTCTTTTCAAAAGAACGCCAACTACTACGAGTGCTTTTCAAGAATTCGAAATCAAATAAAACCGGTGAAACTAGTTACATTGACTTTGTTTAGTCTACTAAATGTACCATTTACTGTTAGCCCAGTAAACAAAGTCAATGTAACTAGTTTGGCAGATTTTATTTTATTTTATTCTGAATTCTTGAAAAGAACTGGTAGCAGTTTGCGTTCTTTTAAAAAGAACTAATAAGCAGTTTCCCGTTCAACAAGAACTGAACTAGTGACCAATTCTTTCATCAGTTCTCAAGAACTTTAGGAACTGGAACTGTCCCACCCCTATTTGAGAGTACAAAACCATCGAGTATTTGTTTAGCAGATTTATTACGTGAATGGAAGAAAACACAACGTGTTGATAGGGCCACCGCGTATTATACGGCCCGTTTAGAATCATCACCTCGGCTACAACAAACTTCGTCAAAAGGGAGACCCAGACCTACGGTCGCAAACAGTTCTACTTACGAGGGAACGTTCCCAACCGAAAAATCGCTTTCGAGCCGAAACCTAGCGTACTATAGTATGTATAGAAAGAAGAAAACATCAAAGTATTATCTAACTGAACTAGTGCGTGGATTTTATCGACATGAATGTTTCGTTATACAATTAAGAATATAACGGTAATGGATGAGTAGTTATTGTTCATCATTTGACACTCTTATTCATTGAATCAATAGCTCTGTTTCAAGAAGATACCGACTATGAATAATAGCAGCCTTTTAACCATTTGTATTTCTGTCTTACATACATTATCTCTGACTACCATGGCCCGAAGAGAAAGCCGGAAAGCCATGGTAGTTCAGAAAGATCTTTGAAAACTCATTTGGCTTTATATTGACGTAGACACCTACTTTTTCATACGTTCAGCTGTGACAAGGGCAGCCTTATAACTCAAAAAGTAAACGGTACCTTTTTCTAAAAAATAGCATGGTATAGAGTACAAGTTGTGTACTATAAACTGCCAGAAAAGCTGAGGAAGGGTACCGTGAAAGTTGTTAACTTTCTAATCCCGGAAGTTGCCAGAATAAACACTAATTTCATAGTAAAGGAAATCTTTCTTTTTGATAAAACGATAAAATTTCTTCTTTTCTCTATTTGTTGCTTTATATCTCTCTATATAGTGTGCATAGAAAGAAAAACAACATCAAGTCAAGTATAGTACAGAATATATACATACATCGTCATTCTGTTATACGATAGTTCCATACTCTTTTTCTCAGGCATATTGATATAATACTATTCTCAATTTTGTTTCCAATCAAATTACCGGTGAATTTATTCACCGGTGAAAATATTCACCGTTGAATAAATTCACCGATGCGACTTTTGACGGCTTCCCTAAAGTAAAAATTTTCTTATTCAATGTCAGAATTTGCTTTATATAACTTTCAGACATTTGCTCTTTGAATCCTATTTTATATGCCTACATGTTCTCTCTTATGGACTAAAATAAGCTTTCAAGAGCAAATATTTGCCTTCTAATTCACTCATTTGTTTTCTCTGTGTAGTTGTATTGAAAAAGAGAATTAGTTAATGGCGTTCTTTACATCTGTTTTGATCATCACGTCGAATTAGAAACCATTGATCTCTGGAATTCTAAGAAAAAAATATTTGTTGAAAGTCTGGCTGCAATGCTTAAATCTCCTATACTTGCTTGGACATTAGTGCTGCTCGTCGCATCAAACTCAGCCTCCTTCGAACGATTTCAAAAAACAGGTTCTGCAGGTTCCAGAATCCAATTGAAAGATAATAAAGGCTGTGATATGATTATTAAAAGCTGCGGCAAAAACGGTCAGTGCTGTGACAAACACGATGCCTGCTATAAAAAGCATAATTGTGATTATACAAGTTGGTTGCTTCTTCGTGAGTGTTAGCTTTTTCTACCTAAAATACAAAAAAATGATCTGTTTCTTTCTTCTTTAGCTACTCTGCCTATTTGCTTGGTCAATTCCTGTTGCAGATGTAACTTGAAAGTGATGGCTTGTGCTGTTTTCCACAATCCAGGGCAAAGTTCATGTTGTGCGCAGAATAATTGTGGACAGCCGCAAGATTGAGAAAAACTACCTTTTCTTTTTTAAAAGGTGCTTTATATCGCTTACAAACAAGATATAAGGCGATAATTTTTCATTTTTTTGTCGAAATTTAAGAAAAACTTACTCGAAGGCAAGAGTCTATGAAGATATCTCAAGGTCGCTAACTAATCTGAAAGTTTACTGTCACTCATAATCATCAAAGTTTGATGAGTAGTCCGATACGATTAACAAGTCGATAAAGACGGGGGATTGGTGGAATGAGAAAGTGAGTATTCCGATAGATAATGAGGCTACCGAAAAAGATTTTTAAGAGAAAGATAAGCAGAGCACTGCTTGAGATTAGACAGAGTATAGTTTCACACATCATTTTTGGCTACATCCAAGAAGTATATGATAACAACGTATTGGAATCTGTTGCAGGTTATGATACCCCCGTTTCTCACAGTGCTTTTGAAAACTGATTAAATTGATGACGGTTGCACTTCGCTAGCTAATTGTGGGAGACAGTTAGAGACAAAATGCTAAGCAGAAAAACGTATTATTCTCTAAATTGTAGCAAAAATGACGTCTAAATCAAGCGTTTTCTTGGCAGAACCTCGATTTTGGTCTCAAACGAAAGAGCTCTAGGAGACTTTTAGAATCAGTCGTGTAAAACCTTGACCGTAGATTTAGTCAAGTCAATCTTCTGAAATTTCAGTTTCCCAGACATTTCAAATGATCTTTAGAAAACCATAACTGATTGCTATTTACAGGGCTAGACAGAAGAAGCAAAATTCTACAAAATGCGTGAGAGGTTCACTGAAGTGTCAGCAAGCAGCTTCAAAAATTTGAATAAAAGAGCATAGATTTGGCTGTTCTGCGGCTGGCCCAGTTGCTGAGCTTCCCAAAGCAACGTCATAAAACCTTTGAGGATTTTTTGCTTGCTCTAACCGCTCATTTAGTCAAAATAAACTCCTATTTCCCAGGTACACTTTGGAAAACCAATTTTTGACACTGGCTTTGATCAAGCTTTGATCCTAGTGAAACATTTGCTCGAAGTTTTCTAGAAGTCATGCTGACCAATTTCGTCATGATCTTCTATTCGAGAACGAAGTGGAGGCTGTACTGACCGAACAAGATGCACAAAGAACGCTCCGTAAGAATGATGGCATATCTAACGGAAAAATATCTAACAAACTGGCTTTCTACATTGCTGAGAAAATGCTTTGCCTATAAATGATAGGTCTGCAGTTTACTTTCAAACCTCATCTGAAGATACGAAAGAGAGGCATAGTTCGATCCTTGAAACAGAAGGGCAACACATTTTGGGTATCTTCTTGTTAAAAACGTTCTAATTCTTGGCTAAAAACAAACTTTTTTGTTGTATAAACTTCTTTCTAGCGCCTTAGTGGTGAAAAATGAAAATTTTAAAAAGCAAGATGAGAAGACTCCCGCTTATCTGGCACGCCTTTAAAACATTTCACCTTTGAATCATGTTCCCGTAGAAAAGCCAAGTTGAACATCGCGTAGTAACTAGATAATTGCAATTCTTCAAAAAAACAAAGAACAGACAGTTAGCGTCCGGCCTCAAGCTCTGCTAAGATCAAATGTATATATAAACAACTAAAACCAGTTCAGAGCAAATTCATTTTTACCCTAAAGCTCAAGTATCCGCATGACATCAAATAAGTCACGCTTATTTCTCAAAAACTTCAAGTGCTTATTATAAGTGGAGTCATTCTACTTTATTTTTCATCGGGGTAAGACGTATGCAGTCTGTTTTTTAAAGTATTAGCGTACTGCACATATACGTATTTTTGCCTTTGATTTAACAAGTAATCAAATATGACATTATCTTCTTCTGCAGCAAAACGTTCTAACGGTTGTCGGTTGACATCATTACCTAGTGATTTTGATCTGAAATCAGAAATGAGCAATGTTTTACTCGATCCTTCTGTACAAAAACAATTAGCTGATATATTTTTATTAGACAGTAATGATTCTGTGAATAACAGTGCGTTAGCCAGTGATGACAAAATTACATCGACATCAACAAATGATATAAATGACGTGATACTCAAACATAGGAATAAATGTGTTTTGATCACCAAAAAAGTGACTTTTGATCACCAAATTTATTAGTAGTGAAATGATCACCAAAAAATAAGACTTTTGATCACCAAATCAATTAAAGAAGTTTAAATTAAAGAAAATATATTCAAGAAGAATATATAGCAATTTAATAGAAAATTATTTGCAAATTAATTAGTGGACAGACAAGAAAAAGAATATAAAGAGAATATATACAAGAAGAAGTATGAACAGAAATATGAAAGATATATGAAATATGTCAACAGTTGACGGTTTTCGAAATTGTATTGTCAACGGTTAAGTTTTTTAAAATTTCATTGGTTCTGTCAACTCACAAGAGCTATAAATACCTGCCCTATTCTATAGACGATATCATTACAAAAATGTCGAAGCAAGAATGGAAAGTATTAAAAACAACTACATCATCCGAAGAAGCAAAAGAATACGCAAAACAGTTTAATGTTTGCCAATGTCGTCGATCAGATTTAAAAAACCATACAAAATATTCGTTCAAATGCAGTGAGTATAGAAAGTATCCGCTTTGTTCTTTTGAAATTCAGATAACCGTGCCGGATAGTAATCCGCAATCAGTGATAATCATGTCCAGAAACGAACATGAACACGAACAAGGAGAACGCAATCCTACAACACGTTTACCGTCACCCATTCGGAAATCGGTGTCAAAATATGTTAAATGTGGATTATCACAAACACAAATTAAATCATCATTAGTTCAAGATCATCCCAATGCTCCAATAACGGAAACAAAGTTAATCAATTTAGTGTCGTACGAACGTCGAAAGGATAGACCAGAGATCTTTTCAGTTTTCGATTTACAAAACTGGTGTAACGAACATAATGAAGGTAAGCAGATACATTCAACTTTTGTGCCCTTTTATACTATTTTAGATATAAATAATATTTTCGTATTGTTTACCACAAAACAATTATTCCAACAGATTCGTCTCACAACATATCTGCAAGTTGATGCCACATACAAAATTACGTGGAATGAATTGCCACTTCTGGTTTTTGGATCAACGGATGCCAATCGTCATTTCAAGCCGTTTGGTGTAGCATTAATTTCTCATGATGAGAATGCCAAATGTTATAACCAATTATTTACATCAATTAATGCGTTAGCCGTGCAAGAATTCACTCAGCCATGTTTAATTAATCACGTGATGGCGGATGGAGCATTAGGTATGCCACAACTATTTTTCATCTTTTATCTTCACATATTCCGTTTATTATTCAGGTATCACAAGTTCTCAACAGACAGTGTTTCCACACAGTCGTCGTATGATGTGCTGGTTCCACATGATCCAAAAATGCCGATTACATCGCAATTTAGTCACAAAAGAACAGTGGGTAAGTATTGATGCAGATATACATGCCGTTCAACTTTCTTTTTCAGATGATGTGTTCAATCGTGGTATAGATTTACTAATACAAAAATGGAGTGCCACTCCAGCTACGAAGAAGTTTTCGGATTACTTCGTTGATCAATGGATAACAAAATTACCCTATTGGTAAGAAAATAGAATTAATGTGTATGCTTCAGACTAACCCAGTTGCTGTCATTTAGGTACGAGGGTGCTGCGTTTGGTAAACCATCCACGAATAATGGTTGTGAATCGATGAATGCCATTATAAAAATATACACTGCGTAATAAGTTACATCTATCGGCGTTTCTGCCAAAAATGGAACAAATGTTAACGGATTGGTCAGAGGCAAGTATTTCATCACCATTTGCTACTGCTACAAGTATATCTCCTGATACGGAGCTGCATGCTTACAAATGGTCAGTAAGTATAAATCGATCTGATATTTTGCATTGGTTTAATACATTTTATTTTGTTCCATCATCCACGGCAACAATAACTACGTCAGTTTGGTTGGATTTGTATCGCTCTGGTCAATGGGCATCATTTGACGATTTTGTGGCATGGCAGACATCATGTTGGTTAGTGTCACCGCTTACATCGTGTACGTGTCCAATTGGTCTTAAGCAATACACCTGCAAACATTCAGTTGGATTAGGCATTGTATTCAGCATGTACCAGGTGACGGACAAAACACGTTGTGAACCATTGGGTAAGAGAAAAGGTAAAGGTCGTCCAAAAAAGGTTCGTACAGC